CTTCAATCTGTCTTCAAGCTCCAACGAGAGGCCACCGTATACCACACAGCCATAGTCAAAGTAGGGGGAAATCAATGAGGAAACGAGGAGCCTGCGGATAGGTTGTGGGAGATGCTGACGAGAACGATGAAATAATTTAAGAGTACCAATTGACCTTCTGGAGATTTGAGCAATATGGGGTTTCCATGATATTTTTTGATCAATGGTAATTCCTAAGGTTTTTACAGAGGAGGTGAAGGAGATTGGTTGGTCATATAGTCCATATTTATAGTCCACTATAAATTATATATTTCATGAGGCACAAATAAAGTTTTGTTTTCTTCATAACTTTTGTTCTGCTTTTTCTGGAGATAATTTTACGGCACTATTGGAGGCCATCTTCAAAATAATGGCTCAATCATCGGATTAAAAAAAAAAAAAGAAATAATATAAGAAGATTGTACTAAAATACCAAAAGAAAATTAGACTAATAGCTGTAGAATAATTAATTGAGATCCTAAGTGGAGAGGATCGAAACAGATTTTACTTAGCCATCGAATACGTTATGTGATATTTAAGTTGCATGATGTGTTGATAATTGCAAATACAGACGGATCTAGGGGAACTTTCGGGCTGATGCCCTCCCCAATATGTTAAAATATAACCATGTCTTATGAAACAAATATTAAAAAATTATCTCTTAAAATGAACTATTTTTCATGTAATTACATTTAATACGACTTCAAGAAACACTTATACACCATTGCATATAGTTTATTTCTTTTTCTTCCAAAGTAATTATTGCTATACCTGTACCACTACAACCCATAAAGGGTCTGGAGTTCATTACTATTTAGGAAAAGCACTGTTTCTAGGTCAACGGTTGTACAAGGAGGTGATTTGACCGAGATCACGCTCAACCGCCAGGTTTTCCTCCTTCATGAATTATTTAATTAAGAGTACCCCCTTTATTATTGTTGTACACATGTAAAAAAAGCCTTCGAGCTGAAGCCCTCCTAAATTAAATCCTTGATGCTAGTGAAAAATGTTTTCTCATAAAAACTACGAGAAACTGTTGGAGTGCTCTTGTAAGACGATAGTTCTTTAAAACTCATCTCGAGTGCCTTCAACCTAATTATCAATAGCTGAGATCAAAAGATTTGGAAAACTGAACTGACCACACTCCCATCTAAGTTATTATTGAGGATATTCTTATATCGTTTGTGCATTGGGACTTTATGCACTTATGTGGACAAGTTAACTAGGACAGGTTAACAACTAAACATGTAAAAACATATTCTCGGCAGAGTAAGGCGGTTAAGATTTATTCCAAGGGCGTGTTAAGAATATTCATATACAGTTGGAAAGTATATAAACAATCATAAGCTGGAGTATTGTGAATACCATATTTGAAGTGGAAGGAGGGAAGTTTATGAGAACAATACAGCAGATAATATTGAAACTTTGGTGCTCTGAAATATCTTTTAGTTTGGTGATTGTTCGATAATGTTGTAGTACAACAAAGTACTATTAGCTCCGATATAGGCTACTTCTATTAGTTACACAATTTTCGTCTAGTGGATTTGTGAACACCGTTATAACTTTTTATAATTTGTAACTATTTGGGTGAAATGACAAGAATTAGTAATCGATCGATAATATTAAAAGAATCAGAATCATAATGCCTCCTAGAAGGTTTGGTGTCCATTGCATCGAGGTCGTTGTATTCCCGCTGCATAGTCGTGCTGCTGGACCAGCGATTTGTTCTATCGAGATTTGCTAGGAGCACGCCCAACCTTCAAGTGTTCCTATCTGTCTGTGGGACTTGACGTGATCCAACAGTTTTCTTTGACTATCCTCAATAAAACGGAATGCAATTGTTTTCGAGATGGACCAGGAGTTAACAATAAATAGAAATTTTAATACTTTTATAAATAATTAGTGCTGAGTTTCTTAGACATCCAAGTATGTGCTTCAATGGTTTGATACCTTATAACATAACAATTAAGATAAAGTTCCAACGATGGTTATATGGAAATGGTTAAGAAGTACGCGGATGGTTTCTATAATCGCTGTTTATATTTTTAAACTTCCGGATTTGTTTTCCTTAACGATCACAAATAAAACATGCACCAATATTTTTTTTTAATGTTTAAGCATGGAAATGAATATTAAGAAAATAAGATGCTAAAGTTATATAAGATGTAAGAATAATTAATAAATATGAGGAAATCACACTGGGAACATTATACGTATGTTTATATATTACTTCTTAGATGTGTTTATTGTCAGTATGTCATAACTTCCTTAATAATTCATTAAGTCCAATGATTGGGCTATCATATAATCCCATGATTGAGATTACGTTCTCCACTAGCGACGATAAATGACCAAACTCCTTAGAAAATGCAGGAAAAAAGTTAAGAAAGAAAAGAAAACTGTCTTTCTTTTCACTCCAAAAAGTATATAACTCATGTTGGATTATATCTATGATAATTTAATAGGTTTATGAATTCCCTACCAAAACAAAAAAATATTATTCAAAACAGAATATTATTGGCAAAGACAAAGGATATTGAATTTTTTATACTCCTTGATTTCTTGAACAAGCATTGTAATCGTATAAGAAAAAAGAAATTAATGTCTCTTCTTTCTCCTAATATATTGCATTTATATAAAATACATAAGGTGGTGACTTCAGAGAATTGTATGATAATAAATATTTCCTGTAATGGTTATTGGTAATACAGGAAAGGGTTGGAGGGGGTGGGTGGCTAAAGATACAAATGAGAACAAATAGAAAATTGTCCTTGGATAAAATAAGATTATTAGTTATACATATTCCTGGCTCACAATAAATTTGCCATCTACTTCGGTATTCAGCAAATATGATATCAAGGAGAAGAAATGATAGCATAAAAAAAAAATAGCAATAAAAAAACAAAAAGACAAAAAAAAAAACAGTAGTAAAATAACACATACATAATAAGATAATAACATAAAAAAAGGAAAAAAAAAGATAATGCAGCAAGTAGCTCAATACAATAAGTCTCTTGGCCAGCGCCTCAGCAGTCTTCTGGGCGGATTATATGGATTTGTGGCAGTAGATAAAGCTTGAGTAAGTGGATTGGAATTTAGAATCAACTCTTTTAAAATGAAAGATAAAATAAGATAAAAATTAAGAATGAAACATCAGGAGTAAATATTTCTGTAAACGTAATGTAAAGATATAATAGTAGTAAAAATGAAAAAAACAACAACTAATTAGTGAAATTCGGACTTTTTTAAAATAATTTTTTAAATAAAGTAATTGAATTTTAAATAATATTATATTCCTGTTCATGTATTTTTATATTTTATCTAGTTTTATTGAAAGGTTTGTGAGTAAAATACTCCACACGATAACCAAAGCGCTCTGGGATTAGGCTGCCAACACAATGAGAAAAAAGACCAATAAAGAGATGCTCACAGAAACTAGTCAATCAAAATTTCGTGACATGAAGGCAAGGAGGTTAAGATGATCGTAACAATCCATCTGGAAGCCTCTACATGACAATGAATGCATCAATAGTAGGAAAAAGATCACTTGGAATGCCAACAATCAGATGGATAAATTGAATCAACAAAGATGCAATAAAGCATACAGATAAATGATAAGAAATAATCCAAGATAGGCAGAGATGGACTGGTCTTTGTAAGGCAGCAAAAGATCTCCAAGGTCAATAATGTTGACAGAAAAAAACAACAACAAAAATCTAATGTTATTCATTTATTTATTACCGTAAGATGGGGAACTTTGGGGCTGGGTGGGCAACTTTGAAAAAACGGGTAAAATTTAGTTTGTGGTGATTCCGTTTTGGATAAACTGTATTGGTTCAGTCTGCAAAAAATTTGTTTAGGCATGTACTGCGCTACTACCTTGCGGCAGTTTGAGAACCTTAGTCCACTACATTCGTTGTGCAGTTAGGGTTTATTTATTTCCATTGCTTTTTTCACAATTCTTGTTTTCATTAAAATTTCGCTTGTGCCTCAAGAGTAGTGTACCACAAGGTAGTAGCGCAGTACAAGACTCAAACAAAGCACGTTTTTGCAGAATGAACCAACACAGTGCATCCACCACGGAATCACCACATATTAAATTTTACTCGCTGTTCCAAAGTTACCCACCCAGTCCAAAAGTGAACCCATCTTACTTTAGTTTAAGTTCTCAAATGTCAAACAAGGGTCCTTTTCTTTCATAAATGCTCAAAGAAACTGAAGTATGAATCTCAAACTTATCCGATTCGTATAAATGTGTAAAAAACACTGATTAAAAAAGAATTCCAGAGATTGATGCAAAGTAAGCTACATTGACTATAAATCAACATATGGATGGGTGTGCTTCTGTACCGTGCACATATTCGCATTCATTTAAGGATTGAATAAAAAATATCAGTACAAATATTTGTTGAAGAATTTGCCTAAAACATTTTTAAATTATATACTCTGCTTGATACACTTAGAAAAAATATCGGAGAATAATGACATTTAATTAAAAATTGTGCAGTGCTATTAATTGTTTTTCCAAAAAAAAAAAAAAAAAATAGATTAATTACTTCATTCAAACAAGAAAACGAATGTATATCTTGGTTGGCATGTTGTATGGAATTTGCAGTCACAGTCTGATAAGAAATTAAAAAATATTTTGTGCCAACGTTTTGGCCTAAGTTTCTGCCATTTATCAGGGCCGAGGAAAGATAAGATAACAACCATACAAGAACTATTACAAACCTATTGTACAAAGATATGAAAACCAAAATTACATATTATCATCTGTTAATAAAAAAGTTGTAAGAAGTGTATACAAATTACAAGTACGGAAATTTTATTTTATCTTTCTGTGACTATAGCCCCACTAACTTCTCAACCATATTAACTACAAATTGACTATTTCATCACCATTAAAATTATTATTTCTTACATTATGTTCACAAGAGGGATTACATTTTCTATTGTCCTGGTCTTCTTGCAGTAGTAGACAGTCGGGAAGGCGGAACTTGTCAATCAGAGGAACAAACAGATCTGGAAGAGGCTCCAGCGTGTCGTTTCTCTGGAAAAGTTGCAGTGATCAGTGAACCCGTTCTGGAACCGGTCCTCGTTGCTTGGGACAAAAACTAGAACTAGGAAGCAGTCATTTGTTTTATTAATGCCCATTATGCTCTGGTCTCTTCAATGGCAATCTTCTCTAGTTGCGACGAACTAGACGAAAGGCCGATCCACCTTCTGGACAAATGGCGGGCTGGAAGAAGTGGTTCTGCAGGATAGGGTTTCTCAAACCTATCTTCATTTTAACTATAAGCACACATATTTCAGTATTTATTAACTATATTACTCACTCATTTAATTTTAAAATACGAATTTCATATTGTCTTAATTTATAATTATTTATATCGATTTATATTTACTCCTTGCAGCTTTACTTCCGCATAATCTGCTGTCAAATCTACTCAAACTGATTCGATTCAATATATGTGTACGTGTAGAATTTTGGGAATCCAAGCATTACTCCGCGAAAATGAAGGGTGCAGGTGAAATGAATTATTTGATAAGCAGATAATATAGCTGTTCTCAGAAGCAACCAAGCACATTGAGGGACTTGGTAAGGCTCTACTAACAGAAGCAGAGTGAATCAGACAACCAGTAAATGAAGATAGAATAAAATACATGATAACCGAAATCGTTAGAAGGAAAATCGTTTCCAATAGTAAACAAATTCAAATATCTCAGCACAACAATAACCTCAATGAATGCTTAACAGTCTGAAATAGCTTTATGTCCTCTTTCAAAGGTATTGAAAACCCGAAAAAATCTCTAGAAATTAAGAGTATATAATGTTATGATAAAGCTAGTTCTAATATACGGCTACGAGATTTTCACGCTAATCAGGGCCTAATAGAGGAATATTTAAAAAAATGAGAAGAAAATCTTATCTGCCTATTATATAAAAAAGTTTTTTTAGTGGCTATTATATTTTAATTTATTTTAGCATTAGGAAATTAGGAGATAACAAGACCCCAACTTACCAGACGATTATTATACAAATTATTGATGTTCATTTAATTAATGTGTTGAGCTCCTATTACTTCCTACTTTCTTAATAAAAAATAAAGACTTTGGACTAAAAATTGGTACGGGAAATGGTATTCATCATCTGGAGGTGGTATTTTGATTTTAGCTGGGTGACAGCAGTTATTTTCCTCATTAATACAATATCTAATTTTATATATTATATATAATATTATTTATATTATATTGTGATATAATTGTAATTATTGTACAAATGGTTGAACGTGATTATAATATGAGGAGTTGGTCGGGGGTGCGATCAAATAAATTCTATAAACTTGAATATAATTTGTTTAGTATAATTATAAATAAAAGTAATGAGTAGTATTATTAATAATTAGTAGTGATAAGTAGTAGTATAAATATAACTAGAGTATAATTTGTAATATGGACGTAACTAATAAAATACTATTCTAGTTTATAGTAGTCCTTCGAACAATAGTCAATGCTCCGTTCTATATAACCAATAAATCCCTACATCATGACCTTAATATTCCATTTGTCCTAGACCTTGTCCCTGAAAATTTTTCCAAATTCCATCAGAACCACACAAATCATCCAAATCTCCTTGCACAATCTCTATCTAGTTTCACTCATCCCTATAATCCTCCTCAAACGTTGAAGTGGTAGTGGCCCAGAGATCGTTGTAGTATATACCTTGGAGTTCTAGCAATGTGCAGATTCTCCATTCAAGACATGTGGGATGCGGTAAAAGCGGTATCGTTCAATCTTCACTGGCTTTAGCATCAGTGATATGGTTGAGGGAGCAGTGCAGGGATCTCTCTGAGTCGTGATTTTCCCTCTATAGTTGGAGGGACAAGCCTGACTAGTGTTTCCCTGCCTGATTGTATATAGGTATGATTGTGTTTTTAATTTACTTATCTTTGTTTTATTTTATTTTTTATTGTACATAGTTTTTGATTATTATTTAGTTGTCACTCTACTTTTGTTAATTTGATGTTCTCTGTATATATGGTCAGAATGTGTTCATATCTCACTATAATTATTTTCCACGTGACAGTTTATTATATTTGTAAATAAATAAATTTAAAAAAAAATGTTATAGTATTTATTTGACCACATTCCGATCAATTCTCATATGATTGTTATGAAATAGAAAAGAAAGCACAATATAACGTACAATGAAAATAGTAGAAATAATACAGTTGTATGTATATTATGTTACAAATTGGCTATAAGAATAATTATCATTATATAAATAGGCAAAGGGAAAACGGTACAGTTAAACAGATTGGCAATAAGACGCGATGTATAATATAGATTTTTAAAGACTTTTTTATTTATTTAGAACTTGTTTATTGAGAGATATTATAATCTGTCTCAAAGGACACTTCAAGAAATTAAAATTTGTTCGAACTGTGGATTCGTTCAGTTTATTTTATATTGATTAAAAACAATACGATCTTAATTACAAAATACATGTAAATTAAAGTTATACAATTCGAGCAACTGTTTAGATTACCTGGAGAGAGCTCTATATTTACTGGAGAAACTACTGCGATCATGATGGCCCTCCATTGGATATCAAATTCCAAAGGCAATCAATGGATGATAACATCAGACTCTAAAAGCGTCATGGCAGCAATAGGTAACCCATGGCCAAGCAATTCAATAATAAGGGATATATTGAATCTATGTACGGAATTTAAAAAAAGAACGGTCAGAGTGATATTTTTCTGGGTTCCATCTCATAGTGGTATATCAGGCAATGAAAGAGCAGACCAAGCTGCTAACTTAGCAAGGTAGGTACCAACCGGGTACACGCAACAAAAAAGAAGTTATTGGAAAATTGGGTAAATAGATGGAAAACTAAACAGTCAAAATTATTAGAAATAAAAACAGACTGCAGCAAGTGGGCTACTAGCACAAGAATATCCAGAAGAGAAGAAACCATATTGTGCAGAATACGAATTGGTCACTGCCTGTTTACTCACGGGTACCTTCTCAGAGGACTGGAAGCAAGCACGTGCCAAAAGTGTGACAATAAACTGCTGTGAGTAAAACATCTGTCAGTGCCACGAGTTCAAAAACATTAGGAAAAAATTGAAACTACAAATAGCAATGAAAGAAATATTAAGAAACAACGAAGATGGAGTCACCACTCTATTCCGATACTTAATAGAGACGAAATATTACAATAGAATATAGAAAGCAAGCCCTCAATGACCCTCTAGGGTAGAGGCGATTACAAATAAAAAAAAAAAAAAAAATTCGAGCTACTAGTTGTACAAATAAATGAACGGTTGTATAATGAAGAGAAGAATAGTTATAATGGTCAGTCAAAAAAGAAGGCAAAAATAAATGATAATATTTATTTTTACATATGCCGACGTTTCGACTTGAAGTTGAAGGCCTGAACTTCAAGTCGAAACGGGGCTAAGAAAATAACCAGATAACAAGGTATGAGAAACATAAGTAGTGATGGTAAAATAAAAAATAAAAATAAAAATAATAATAAATAAATAAATATAAAGTAAAATGAAATTGTTAGAATAATGACTAAGAACTAAGAGATAAATAATAATAACCGTTACAAAGTGTGGAATGATGAAGTAGGCATAATCAAAAAGGGTGATAGTAAAAATGATAGTTCTTAGTCATTATTCTAACAATTTCATTTTACTTTATATTTATTTATTTTTATTTATTTATTTATTATTATTTTTTCTTTTTTCTTTTACCATCACTACTTATGTTTCTCATACCTTGTTATCTGGTTATTTTCTTAGCCCTGATGAAGGCCTGAACTTCAGGTCGAAACGTCGGCATATGTAAATATAAATATTATCATTTATTTATGCCTTCTTTTTTGACTGACCACCCCAACTATTCTTCTCTTCATTATCCACGACAGTCAACCATTTACCAATTATGAACGGTTGTATAATTTGCAAAATGGAGGCTGGTCCGCCGTTAGGACAGGGGTTACCCCCATAGTAAAAAATAAAACATAAGTTCTTTATTTTTTATATAATTTATAGATGTAAGTATAGTTTATAAGGAGGAGAAATTGCGTGGATAAATAAGCTAGTTAAATAAATAATAGTGCGTTTTGAAGTTCTTCGTTGAGAGTTGTGTATACAGTCCTTGATTTTGATCTCTCTAGATAATTTTTATTCTTTGATAAAGAATTATTAATAATAGCCGAATAACTGAAGCTACCATTAGGTAGTATTAAAAATAAATTATAATTCACAAGGGGAGGACGGGATGAGAATATTTGGTCCGCCAATTCAGAGAGAGAAGACCCAAGAGGCTTGGCCATCCGCGCTTCGTTGCACTTCTTCGTATCTTTAAGGAAACAATTAACTTTGCTCAAGACCCATATCCCCACTTCCTGCCCCCTTCCTCTCTTATAACAAAGCAAGGTCTTAGCAATCCGATCCACGCACGCTAATTACATCCATAACAATACACCACATTTTATAATTTTCTTTTTTTGGACTAAAAGTTAAAATGTTTACGTAACAATACGTATTGTAGCTAGTTGTAGTGAATATTTACTCTGATTTTTTTGAAAATGTTAAATACTTTTCGAGGTATCGACAGAGCAATATGAAACATATGTAATCCATCGTGATGTTCCGTTAATAAAGTTTCACCGCGTTGTGTTGGCAACCCAAGAGAGATTCTTGTGGCACCAAGTTGAAACTAACGTTTTATTTTTTTTAATAGCCCTGCATACAAAGGAAGGAGATGGTCCGGGGTGACGGTCATAAATAGGCTAAATAGTGGCAAAACTATTTTATTAAATTAAATTCAATTAAAAAACTGGCTTTTAATAAAATAGTTTTTCCACTATTTAGCCTATTTATGACCGCCTCCCCGGACCATCTCCTTCCTTTATAATGCAACGGTTAACTATTAAACATTCAATAGAATATTACTATATCATCCATCAAAGTATATTTGTAAATAATTAATAAGTAATATTGGAGGGTTAGTGAAAAAATGAAATGTTTCAACTTATGTTAATACCGCAGGAGTTCACCCTTGGACTAGCATGATCGAGGTACTGCTGGAATTATAGC